ATGAAAATAATAATAACGACTAACCCTCATAATAAAATATTAAAATACTAATAAAATCAAATAAATTCTAAAATAATGATAAATCCAAATATCTTAAAATTATAATTAACCCATAATTATTTCTTATCCCATGTTTCATCACTAATCTTTATATTTAGGATTAAAGGTAATATTTTTTTTTACAAATGCAAATATTTTCTTATTAAAAACAGAATTTAAATATTAATTTATCATTTTTTTTTCATTAGATCCCAGCTTCCCGTAAGTGGATTGAAGGTAAATTTGGATTGAACCCTCACCACTTTATGGGGCATCACGCGCGGATTGAAGATAATATTTTTATTTTTATTTTGTTACAAAGATAATATTGAATAAAGAAAAGAATGATATTTTATCGTACGGAGGGACTTCAAGCCGATTATTAGGTATTTGGGTTCATGGGAGCGCCGAGCCAGATATGTGAGCCACGGATTCTTTGTCCGGTTGGCATGGACCTGAGTTTCCCACTAAATATGTATGGTTTAAATTTATTATTTCTATATTTTAATATTTTTAAGATATAAAAAACCAAAACAAAAATAATCTTCAAACCTTTTAAATTAAATTTAAATAGCTTTAATATTACTAATCGTTGTCCAAACTTTCAGTATCATTAGGTTATACTTGAGTTGAGCACTCTTGAACTTAATTGGTAGTAGTTCTTCCAAGGTGGTTTTTCCGTTGACAAAGGTTTGAATTTTTAAATTTGGTTAAGGTGAATCATAGTATTAAAATTCAATTTGATCAAACCAGTAAAACCAATGAATGAGATCCTTAGCTAGCATTAGAGGTGGTAATGCGGGTTAGCCGTGCGGATACGGGCCAGCCCGCTAAGGTGCGGGCCGCGGGCTGGCCAAGGCAGGTTGGCAGGTCAACCCGCCTACATATTCTTTTTTTTTTTAAATAAAAACTATTATTATTAATATAGGTTGAGCTTAATTTGAAATGTTAAAATTAGGTTTCAAATCTTGAATTTGAGTAGTGAGTTATGATAAAATAAACTGAAGATTAATTTATAATTTAAGAATATATTTTAAAAACTAATATATTTTTATAAATAATTAATTTAACTAGTTTTTTATTCAAAGTAATTTAGTTTTCTTATCCAAATTAATTAATTTAACTAGTTTTTTTATTCAAAGTAATTTAGTTTTCTTATCCAAATTAATTAAGCAGATATTTTATGTATAAATGTATAAGTATCACATATTTATTTAATTTTATAAAGGCTTTTATAGTGACACAACAAATAAACGAAAAATAAAAGATGGACGATGATCTTCGTATAACTACACACAGAATCACAAATATATAAAGTGTTTAATTACTTATACAATGATATGAAAGAGGTAATGTTTAATTGTTCATGTGGAATTTGAGGGTCAAAATATTTTAACTATATTAGAAATTATATGAAAAATTAAAAAAAAAAAAAAAAAAAAGCGGGTCAGCTCGCCAAACCCACCAACTAGCCTGCGATGGAGCGGGCTCAAAACGATACGGGTTGAAATAGCCCGCACCTTAGCGAGCTGGCATATTGTCAACCCGAGCCCGCTTTTTTTGGCGGTTGGGCCCGCGTATTACCAGCTTTAGCTAGCATGATCTATTTGTTTATGAATAGACTATGCTAAATGCTAAATTTTTTACCAAGCCAAAAAAAAAAACAGAATTAGATGCAACCTCCAAACTTGGCTAAAGCACCTAGCAAATACATGAAAACAATTTTCATAAAATATATTCACCGTGTGTGTGTGTGTTTTTTTTTTAGGTGAAATATTTTGGTATTTTCATCTTTATTTTTAATGTTTGGACAAGGTGCTTGAATCATGAGGGTATTTTAGTATTTTCATGGGACAGAGGTGGTCCCATTATTTACGATTTGCTCGAGTCTTTCTTAGTAGATCCAACTAACCATTAGTAAATCTGGAATAATATAAACGTGCTGAGACTTTGCATGATCAATCAAATTTATTAATAATGTTTTTACCACAAATTTATTAATAATTGAAGTCGGTTAACAACTTCAGCTCAAAAAAAAAAAAAAAAAAAGAAGAAGTGGGTGAGCAACTCACATAGATGGGCCCCACTTGACAATGCTTACCAATCTTTGCTCATTAATTAATTGGAAGCTAATTTCTTTGACTTTTTCCTGGAAATCACGTGTTCACGAAAAATAGGGCGTGCTTCACTCTGCTATGAGGCCCTAATAGTTTATCTTAATGGTGAGAATTTTCGTCCCTTCGATGTTTCTTTTATTAGATTTAACGTTATTCACATGATACATTTCAATTAGACCTAGAGAAATAATTTAGTATCGTTAAAGATTTATTCTTTATTTTGATAATAATTTAAATTTAAATCAGCATGATCATATTCACGAAAAAAATATTTTTGAACCTTGGATCACACTTTATTTTTTGCAATTAATTTATTGTGATAAAATATAATAAATTATTACATTAATTAGATTATGATAAAGTGATGGGAAATTCCAAAAAAACACTATAAAATTACTATTTTTAATTCAGGCACCTAACATTCTAAAATGATCAAAAAAAAATCCAAATTAGAATTTTGAAATTTAAGAGAAATGAGAAAAATGTCCCTTTATTAATTCCGTTGAGAAAACATGTTGTTAGTCCCAAATCAAGACCTGTAATTTCACAATCAAGATTTATAATTTTCAGATGAATTGTTGTCTTTTTTTTAATTGATTCACATATTATTTGACATGTTATTCATTAAGAAAAAACATATTAATTTCAAATCAAGACTTGTAATTTCATAATTGGGATTTATTATTCCCCAATAAATTATTGTCATTTTTAATTGATCCACATGTTATTCCACGTGATATGTATCAAGAAAAACGTGTTGCTAATATTAAATTCAGACTTGTTATTTTACAATGAGACTTGTTATTTTAGATGAATTGTTATTCATAAAAGGACATTTTTATTATTTTTCTTGAATTTCAAAATTTCAATTTGTGTTTACTTCATTCTCTATTATTTTGAAGTGTTAGGTGTTAGAAATGAAAAGTAATTTCAAAATTCTTTTCCTCAAATGTTTTCTATAGTGACCACTAATTTTATTTATTCAGTTTTTGTTGTGATAACTAACTAGCCCATTGTATATCTTGCCAAGAGTTGAATTTCACAACCTCATGCTTAAAAAAAGTTTCGGTGGAAGTGAATTATAACGCTCCAACTTATTTATTTATTGAGTTGAATTATGTATATACATATTTTTATTCTAATTAAAAATATCAGGAGTTTTGTGTTGAGCCAATATGATTAAAATGTTGGAAAAATGACAAAAAATATCTGTTAAATTTTTAAAAGATAAATAGATTGTGCTGACTATTTTTGTAATAGTCTTAGTATGTCAAAATCTGTCAAAATCACTTATTTATCATTTTAAAATTCACCATGTATTTTTTAACCATTTTTTCCCAACAAGTTATCTCTTTATCTTACTTCTCTTGGTCCTATATATAATATTTTTTTTTGGGCCAAAGTTCTTATATATAAGATATAAATAATCAAATTATGTGTTGGATAGTTAAAAATAATAAATATGTAAATAATCACATTTTATTTTTGAAAAATATCTTTATTTATAAGGAGAAAGTGAATAAGAAATAGAGAATGAGGGGTATAAGAAACAATCAATGGAATAAGATAACATGCAATTGACAAGGCCAGAAATAAAATAAAAAATGATCAAAATTGCAGACCCCCCCTAAGAGCATTTTATATTTTAGGAAAAACTATTTTGGAAGTACCTTTTTTTTTCATTTTCAATTTGATACTTATGTGTTTTTTTAATTAAATCTTAATTTTACTTTATTGATATTGTTAATCTTGCGCTAAAACTGAAAATGCCAATAGAACAAAGTTACAAGGCTAATATTACTAAAAAAATTAAAGTTAAATGATTTAATTAAAAGGAAAACACACACATATACCTAATTAAAAATTGAAAGAAAGTATAGGTGCTCAAATCCTTAATATAAAAACTAAATAATTAATTTAAAAATATTAAAAAATTAGTTAAGTAAGTTATTTGTAATAAATCGATGTTATTTTTTCTAAAATGTTCTTATTAATCATGTACAATCAAACTACCTATAGATGAAAATTTTTGAATAAACATAATCATCATAGAGATTTTTTTTTGGTGGATAGAATCATAGAGATTATTTGAAGATAAAATGGATAAATATTAAAACAAAATAAATTGAGATCTTATATTTAAAATCAAATTTAATTTCCAACAATTTCTTATATTAATGACTAGAGGTAATATATAAAACCATTTCTTTCGCAAATTATATTTTGTATAGAGGACTCGAGTACTCCTGTTTCATTACCTCTTCTCCAAATATCCCGCTACCTTGTTAGTTTTATTTTATAATAAGATATGTTAAATCTTATTTTTGAAATTATGTTTTCATTTATTTTTCATAATATTTATTTTTTATTATATTTATTGAATACAATAAGTGTGTACTATAAAATTTATACCATACCACAATTTCATCTGGCACCGTACCAAACCACAATATTCTTATATTCCATGCAATATCTAAGCATAACATCTAATTCAAGGTAAATATTGTTTCTAATATTTAAACGTGTAACAACACATCCAAAACAAACTATGTAATTAGTTCGACCCATTAGATAACACATAAGAGGCTTAGGGACTCAATCCCAAGCCATATGAAGCCTCAGATAACACATATCTAATAATTACAAATATTAACTGAACAGTTTGAACTTCAATTACACATTTACTAAGACCAAAAATATTTTATAAAAATAAATCCTAGTGCCATTTAACCCAGCCAAACAATCATACAAGAATGAAGTTCTAGCAAGATACAGACTAAGTGAAGATAACCAGTATTCTGTAGAACCCGAAACACACCAAGAATTTGAATGCATAAATAATAGTGAAACTAGGTGCTAATCTGTCATTGTCATGAGACAAATGGCTCATTCTCATTCCACTTGTTGATGATCTGCAGAAAAATCTCATTCCAAGTGTCTATAGGACCAGGCAAGCACCAATGAACACAATCATTCTGGACTCTGTCTTTAGCCCCATTAGCAAATGGAAAAGGATACATGTAAGGACCTGGATGCCCATCTGGCCTCATCAAAGCCAGTTTGGTCACATCCAATGCCTCCAATTTCAAAACCCTTCCAAAGTTTTCATTATAATTAGCCTTAGCAGCTTCCACTTCTTCAACCTCAACCTTCCTTATATCAGCATTCATCCCTTCAAGCTCCTTCTCTTCCTCTTTGAATGGCTCAGTCTTTGGACATGCCCCAGCTTTATCCCACTCACCTTCAAAATGTGCAGGAGGAAATGTTGTCACTATCACTTTGATTCCATCTTTACCATCACTACCACGAACACCACTTCTTTCAATTATGCTCTTAAGGGTAGTCCTTAAAGCCTTTCTCAACATATCATAGAATTCAATTTCAGTGTGATTCAAACCAGGACAGTAATGGCAGCCTAACACTGAGCCACCCTCATAGTAAACAGCAGGAAGCAGAAACCAGTGACCTATTGAAAGCACCATCAAATCCATTTGATTTAGATCCCTTGCCCATTTCTCATCGACAAGATCTAAGAAAAGTTCATTATTCAGTCTTGCGCTTGATTTCTCAATCCCTTTTACCAGAAATGGAGACCAATACAGCGACACAGTAATGTTGTGAGAATCAAAATGCCATCTGCGAAATTTGTTTTCCTCCCCATTGCTATAGACCAGATTTGGGGTGGAAACAGTGGCTAACATACAGAGAAGTGACTCTAATTGGTTTCTAGCCAGGGAATCACCCACAAAAGATAAGTGTTTATGCTTGAAAAGTTGAATAAAAGATTGGGGTTTAAACCTGGGGAGATTGCAGCGTGTGGGTTTCCATCTCCAATAGAGATAGCCTATGTCAGGTCTTCCGTGGCTGATACAGTTCTGGCCTTCCTTGATTATTCCGCAGGTCGTACCGTTGTATAAAGGGCCTCTTCTGTCACGGACCCATTTGCCATTGAAGTAGTCACATGAAGTCTCATTGGGTCTTTCCTCTTCTGCAATTCAGCAACTGTTAAGCAAGAAGAACAAAGATAATGAAATGTTACTAAACAAAAATAAACAATGAACCCTCTTTAGGGTATCCAAATCCTTCGTCGAAGGTTGACAAACAACTCTAAAACCCTTGGTAACTCATGAGGAGAGGACCTATGTTAAACTCCCTAGGAGAGGATTAAACCATCCCACACAACTAAGCACATTACACTATGACCCTTCAACAAACCCCAAACCAACTACTGGGCTAAGATCTTAACTAATCAATAAACTTTAATAGTCAATTTGGCAACACATAGACTAATCATGGTGTAAACTTGCAATATTAATAATACGGTGGAGTGAAGTGAATTAAACCAATCACAATGACAAAATATTTTTTTCATTGTACTCATCTTCATCAATTTGACTTCAGTTTATGTGCTGACCCAAGCCTGCTTATTTCTTCCCTTCCCCCCTTTTCTTCCTATAAAATACAACTTTCGTATTTTGGTTCAATTCAGTTTCTCCCTTTTCAGAGATCTGATCAAATCAAAGTTAAGTCTTACAAAATAGAAGAAAAAACTAATCCAACACAAGGGAGTGTAGGAAATAGAATAATATGGAAAATAATTCTCTTGTATTTCATTGATCAGAATATACACATATATATACAAGTGAGAGGAGCCTCTGCATTAATGGCCCATTATGATAATATCATATCCTATCAAATCCTAATCATAATTACATAATATTTACATATCAAATCATATCATATCTCTACACTCCCCCTCAAGTTGGAGCATAAATGTTAAGCATGCCCAACTTGTCACACAGATAGTCAACACGAGTCCCATTTAGAGCTTTAGTGAGAAGGTCGCCTAATTGATCACTAGAACGCACATATCCAGTGGAGATGAAGTTCTCCTTAAGCTTGTCTCTGATAAAATGACAATCAATCTCAATATGTTTGGTACATTCATGGAACACAGAATTGGAGGCTATATGTAGGGCAGCCTTATTGTCACACCACAACTTTGCTGGCAAAGTGGTTTTGAGGCCAACTTCCTTTAATAGCTGATATATCCAGATTATCTCACATACAGACTGTGCCATAGCTCGGTATTCTGCCTCTGCGCTCGATCTGGACACCACATTTTGTTTCTTGCTTTTCCAGGACACCAGATTCCCGCCCACAAAGACACAGTATCCTGTAGTAGACCGTCTCGTGGCCTTTGATCCACCATGATCTGCATCACAGAAGCACTCAATGTCTGTATGGCCATGATTTTTGTATAATATCCCACGACCTGGACATCCCTTCAAATAATGTAACACGTGCTCCAAGGCTTCCCACTGTCTGACAGTCGGGGATGCCATGAACTGGCTTAGTACACTGACTGGATAAGTAATATCCGGACGAGTTACAGTGAGATAGTTTAACTTGCCAATCATTCTCCTGTACCTCTCAGGATTCTCAAATGGTTTGCTCTTCTGAGCCTCAAGCATCCGTTTCTCATCATCAAGAGAATCATCGAGTGGTATGCTCCCATCAGCGTCAAGGAGTGGGTTGTGAACCATAGGAAACTTGGTCGGTGCTGCTCCCAACTTTCCAGTTTCCTTCAGGAGGTCAAGAACATATTTGCGCTGTGTCAGTAATATGCCCTTCTTGCTTCGCATAACTTCAATACCTAGAAAGTATGTCAGAGAGCCCAGATCCTTCGTCTGAAAGTGGGAATTAAGAAAGGACTTGAGGGACGAGATGCCCGAACCATTACTGCCTGTGATCACAATGTCATCTACATATACCACCAAGAGAATCATGCCAGCCGCTGTTCTTTGATAAAATACAGAATGATCGCACTTGCTTTGGCTCATGCCAAATTTCTGTACGACAGTACTGAACCGGTCAAACCATGCACGAGGGCTTTGCTTCAAACCATACAAGGACCTCTTAAGGCGACATACTTTCCCATGCTCCCCCTGAGCAACGAACCCAGGTGGTTGCTCCATATAGACCTCTTCATGAAGATCACCATGTAAGAATGCATTTTTAATGTCTAATTGATGTAGATCCCAATCATAAGTAGCAGCCAGAGAGATGAACAGACGGACAGATGAGAGCTTAGCAACAGGAGAAAAGGTTTCGGAATAGTCAATGCCATAGGTTTGTGCATAACCTTTAGCCACAAGGCGAGCCTTAAGGCGGTCAAGTGTGCCGTCAGCCTTAGTTTTCGGAGTTAACACCCATTTACATCCAATGGCCTTTTTACCCGCCGGTAAATCGACCAGGGTCCATGTACCAGCTCGATCAAGGGCCGCCATCTCCTCTTCCATTGCAGCACGCCAACCTGAGTGGGCCAAGGCTTCACGAATAGTTCTGGGCACAGAGATAGTATCTAGGGAGGCAACAAAGGAACTGGACACAGGAGACAAGCGGTCATATGAAACAAAGGACGAAATAGGATGGGCACAAGTACGTTTACCTTTGCGAAGGGCAATGGGTAGATCAAGAGAGGCATCCGGTCTGGAACAGGAGGTGTCTCAGGATTAGGGTCAGAACAGGTTCAGTGTTGCTCAACTCAGGATCTGAGGGCGAGGCGGACCAGGGAGGAATAGAAGCTGGCGTGGCGGTAGTAATCTCCGTTGACCGTTGTGTATACACATGATCAAAGGGTTGAACGAGTGCGGGAGCGGGTGCTTGCGACGACAGTGATGGTGAGGTGACAGAGTATATTAGAAGGTCATCCTCCTCCGCAGGTGGAGCAGGTGGGGAAGAATGCGAGAAATATGGTGTGGACTCCTGAAAGGTGACATCTGCAGATACTAAATAACGATTGAGAGTAGGTGAGAAACAACGATAACCTTTTTGGACCCGAGAGTATCCAAGGAAGACACATTTAAGAGACTTTGGATCTAACTTTGAAATAGATGGCCGTACATCCCGCACAAAACAGACACACCCAAATATCTTAGGAGCAATAGGGAACAAAGGCTTAGAAGGAAAGAGGGTAGAAAAAGGAGAGTTACCATCAAGAACAGAGGAAGGCATTCGGTTAATAAGGAAGCAGGCAGTGGAGACCGCGTCAGCCCAAAATGGTTTAGGAACCTGCATTTGAAACAAAAGTGCACGGGCCACCTCAAGTAGGTGGCGATTTTTTCTTTCTGCAACACCATTTTGAGCTGGTGTATCGACACAAGACGACTGATGAAGTATACCATTTTGAAGCATGTAAGATTGGAACGAAGCAGAGAGATATTCTTTAGCATTATCACTTCGTAAGGTGCGAATAGAAACATTAAATTGAGTTTTAATCTCAGCACAAAAGGCACAAAAATGGGAAAACAATTCAGAACGATGTTTCATTAAATATAACCAAGTTGTCCGGGAATAATCATCAACAAATGTAACAAAGTATTTAAACCCTGCTTTGGACTCTACAGGACAAGGACCCCAAACATCAGAATGGACTAACTCAAAAGGGGATGAAACCCGTTTATTGACACGAGACACTAAAGGAAGACGATGATGCTTGGCAAACTGACATGACTCACAATCTAAAGACGACAAATGCTGAAATTGAGGATAAACTTTCTTAAGAGAAGATAAAGACAAATGACCCAATCGACAATGAACTTCAAAGGGAGAATGACTGCTAGCGCAAGCTACCGCATGAGACACCCGATCATCCAGTATATAGTGCCCGCCAGATTCATAACCTCTACCAATAATCCGCCTCGTCAAAAGATCCTGTATCAAGCAATGAGAAGGAAAAAGTGAGACCCAACAGTTTAGTTGACGGGTGAGTTTACTGGGAGATAGGAGATTAAAAGCAAGTTTAGGAACATTTAGCACAGATGACAAACGGATAGAGGGTGTGGGATTAACAGTGCCAGAACCGAGAACTTGAGACTGGGAACCATCAGCGATGGAAACACTTGACGGATTGGCAAAAGCATTATAAGAGGAGAAGAGATGGCTGTTACCTGTCATATGATCAGTAGCCCCGGAATCTATGATCCACTTTGAGGAAGAAGAAGCAAGGGCAGTAGCATTATTACCTGTTGTAGCTGCGGCACTCACAGACGGTGTAGTAGATTTTAACTGGGCATACTCAGCAGCAGAAATCGTGACTGTGTCACTGGCTTGTGTAGCCACGTGGGCAGAGTTATTCCGTTGCTGTTTATTCTGAAGTTTTCGACATGTGCGTTTTGTATGCCCCGGTTCTTTGCAGTAATAACACACTACCCCACTGGAGTCAGAAGGGGCTCCCCCTTGCTTCGAACCACCACGGGTAGGCCCCCCGCGGTTATCAATAGGACTACGAGTCTCATAGGTGCCCTTACTGAGCAAGGCACTTGTAGGAATACTAGCAGCTGGTGGCAAGAGATTCTCAGCTCTCATTACTCTGGAAAACACATCTTGAAGGTCAGAAATTTCAGATCCGGATAAGATTTGAGACCGAACTGTGTCGTACTCAGGTGGGAGACCAGTAAGAAAGCTCATAATAGCCATTTGCTCCCGTTGCTTATGCTGAACCTTCAAATCAGCAGTAAGAGGCATTAACACATTCAGTTCTTCATACATCCTTTTAAAGTCCATAAAGTAGGCTTTGAGAGGACGATCCTGTTTTTCAGAACGATAGAAAGCTTTGCAGACCTCGTAAACACGAGAGATATTTCCTTTTCCTGAATACAAAAAATCTAAATAATCCATTAGTTCCTTAACCAATTCACAGTGATTAATAGAGGGAATAATCTCACTGTCAATGGAATTACGGATCTGGAAAAATAGCCGTGCATCATCCCGCAACCAGGTCTTTTTGGAATCAGTTGTTGGAGGATCATCAGTCAGATGGTCTTCCTTCTCAATGCTCCGCAGATAGAGGCGAATGGTTTTACTCCAATCCAAATAATTTACCCAAGTCAACTTGTGATCAGTAATTTTAGTAATAGTTGGGACAAGCTCCGAGACAGATTTAATTTCCGCCATAGATGAAGTGCACTAACCAAAGGGAATGCGAAAGAGT